TATATATATATATATATATATATATGAAAAAAAAAGAGAAAACAAAAAATCAAAGAGAAACTAGAAAAATTCATTATTAAATTATTACATAATATAACTTATATAAACATTCTATATATGATTACAAACTATCTAAGGCATGCGCTGCTTGGCACATTTGATTTTCTAGTTTATTGTTGTTGTCTTTTCAAGCATTTTAAATATTATAAAAACTAATAAAAAATAACAAAGAAGTAAAAAAAAAATATAACAATTACCTAAAAACAAATATTCATTAATTTTTTAAGAAATCCTCAATGTACGAGTATTTATTATGTTTATGGCGAATTGTGTGAATACAAAAGCGAAATATATATATTACAATATTGTGTTAAAGCCGCAACGATTTTTAATCAATAAATGTAGGCACCAACCAAACACCCCCAACAAAATTAGCCCCAGCCCCCAGTTGCTACCCATTCCCTTGGCTGGCGACATTATATAAATTTTTAATTTATGCAAACGAAGCCCTTTCGCATTATTTTACATTTGCCACGAGACGCCCCACTAATGCTGTCGCCGCAATGCTGCCACATGCCACCCAAACAGTCCCCAACCCCCTTTCGGTCCAACACCAACTTCACATTTTGAATTTTTGCGCCTGAAGAAAAAAAGAATCTCTCTCTCTCTCTCTATATATAAATATATATGTATGTATATATATAATGAAAACCGCGCCGCGCGCAGCCAGAAAATGTCACAGTGTTTTCCCATTTAATCTTCACAACAACAGCAACAACAACAACAACAACCAGAGCAGCGGCATCGGCATCGGCTCTGGCAGCTACCCCCAGCCGCCCCCAACCACGCCTACCCACCCACGCGCCGCCTCCTTTCATTGTGCCCCTTTTTAACGGCAGCAGCCGAAAAAGGCTTCGTTCTATGTACAAAATGGCAGCATGTATTACATAAAACTCGTCTTATGTGCTTACACATAGCACAAGGCGTCGACGTCGTCGTCGTCGTCGCCGCCATCGTCGTCAGCGTCGTCATTCTGCGCCAGTTCCTTCCACTCCTTTTGATTCGTGGGGCTGGTTGAAGAGCAGGGGTGAGGGGAAGCTCCTATGCTGCTTATTAGCATTTCAGCCTTTCTTTGCTGCCTTTCGAGTAAATGATTTAGACTTGGGTACGCAAGAATTTTTGCCAAATGAGTTTACGAGTGTTTGGCTGTAAGGATTTCCATACCCTGTAAAGCAATCACTGCGGGGTATATTAATTGGTTACTCTTAGGCAGAGTACGAAATTAATGAATCTGTATGTAAATGACATTTTTTTCTTATGTGTAAGACAATTTTTGAATGCTTCGACGTTGAATGATATGCTCTGTATGAAAAATATGTTAAATTCGTATTTTATTTACAAATTTTTTTAATATATTGAGTTAAAATTGATTGATAATATATTTATTATAGCAAAAGATCTCCAAATTAATGTTCTTTAAAACAATGTATTTAAGTTTAATAGTTACACGAATAATAATTAATATAACATAACAGGGCTTAGCAGGGTATATTTTATTCGAATCTACTCAAAACGTTAGAGCGCAGTATTCTCAGAAATAAAACCATAATAATGACATTTTTGAAATTTGGCATATTTAAAGAAATGTTGAAAGGCATTTGAAGTTTTTTGGTCTTCTATATTCATATAGGGCATTTAAGTTAGAAAATTTCAGTCAAGTTCTTAAAGAAATATGATTATATTTTACTATACTATTGGCTATAATTCGATGTACTATATATATTCGATATACTAATAATATTAGAAAAGCTTATTGAATATTTTAAGTCTATGGTATTTGCTAGTCGGGCTTAGTAAGTTCTAGCCCCACAAGTACGAAAAGGCAGTTGAAATAAATTTTAAAGGCTTCTTCTTTTTTACGGCCAACCGCCGAGCAGCGGCTCATTATTCAAATTGAAAAATTATGATTTGCGCCCAGGCAGGACTCGAAGTCCGAGGTTCGCGTCCAGCGAAGCAAGCGATTCTAATAAGCTGCCTCAAGTGCAGTGGACAAGGACGAGGAATGGGGTGCGAGATGGCACGGACGGGACTGGAGGGTGTGGCAGTGGGACAGCTGATGCCGCATTGGCTGCCGCTTTCATTATCCTGCGGCCATTCGCCTCAATTAAATGGGTGAAATTATGAGCCTTATTAATATGGCAGTCCTGCGTCGGCAGTCCTGCTGCGGCTCGGTTGAGTTTGGTTGAGCTTGCTTGGTAGATATACATTTCTGGGCAGCTTTACAGGGCTTAGTTGATTTTGAATAATTGCAGGCGTTTGTAGAAACTTTTTAAGTGGGAAAATATAAAAATATGAAATGAGAAATGAGCTGAAATGTATTAAATCTGGTTTTTTAAATATAGAAAATTGTAATAGGCATTGTTGTACTACCTTATGCTCAGGATAAAAATAAACAGAAATATATATAAATTCCATTGCCTACCCCTTCTTAACCCTCTAATAGAGCTGAACTACTACGAGCTATGTTGCTTGAATTTGTGCAAGCACAATAGATTCACATAGACACGCATAATGTAACAAAGGAAAATTGCAACAGGATCAATGCAGAGCAAAACAAAGAGTTAACAAAGAAAGGGAAAATGAGAAGAAGAGAATGAAGAAGAAGAGTTGTCAATTGTCGCATGAATGAACACAAACTGAAGCCAATTGCTGTGGCTCTGCCTGTTTGATCCTTAGCCAGGTCCTGCGGCGTGCTAAGCTCCCCTCGTGCGCAAAGGCATGCAAATTTTTGGCAAATACACAAACGTAAACGTAAACTCACACACACACACACAC